GATTATCTGATCAAAAATTAGTCTCAATAATGAAAAACAATTCACCTCACAATCCTCAAAATGAATCTATAGTGAAATTCGATTTTCATAATGCGACTGGTGATCCTGACGACCCTCTCTTAAATAATGATAATATTTCGGGATCTATTCAATTGCAAGAAGAAGAACAACGACGATTACCAACTGGTTTATTAAATGGAAATTCAATTGAAAATAATAATATGATTAATACTTCAAATAATATACCTAATGCTTCATACCAACATTCAAATGTTCTACAACCCATTTCTTCCATCTCTCCTACTTATCCGATTCCTCCCACATCTCATATTACTCAAAAACCTTTAATTGCTAATAAGAATGATGAAGGTCAAAATCATGATGCAGTCGAAACGACTACCAATATAGAAACCATAGAGAAATTTTATAAACCGAAACAAGGAACTATTTTTATGCTCATTAACATTTTTACGATTGCTGCCATTGTCTTTGTTAGTAAGTATTTTATAGAGGTTAATTAAGAAAAAATTTTCATTTCTTTAACTGACTTTCTTTTATATTTGTAGCATGGAGGTTGGGAGCGTGGGGAATTGGACAAGCTAAAGGAATTTACGGTACGCTACGGGTATTGGGATTATAACAACATTGACCTCCATTATTATTTAAAAGAAAATCAAATGTTTATAAAGGCCGACTATAAGTTACCGCGTATTTCTTCCCCACTCCATAAAAAATTTTTAATAAAAATAATTATGTACATAGTGTATTAAAAAATATTAAATTAAATATTATTAGGTAACTTTTTTTTTTTAAAAAAAAAAAAAATATTTTGTATTATATATTTAAAAAAAAAAGAAAAATTTAATAATAATAATCGCGCGTAAAATTTATTTTTTGGAAGCCTTAATTTTTCGTTTATGCAAATTAACTTTTAAATACGGGTACTTGCCGGCAGTTTTCTAACAAATTTGAGTTTATTGCTATATTCTTTTTCCCGCGCGCATTTATTTGAAAAATTTTTTTTTTAATGGCTCTGTTCGTCAATGCGGGATTCAGCAATGACTGTCAACGAAAATTTTAACGAAAATATCTTTTTCGGACCTTTAAAAGGAATTTTAACGCAAAATGGTAAGAATCTCGGTTAATAACTTAGTTTTCATTATCATATCGCATAGTATAAAACATTGAAATGTTTTATTTCTTGGTATTTGTCTCATGGACTCGCCGCGAATTCAGCCAATGAAGATATAAACCTTGTTGAAAGGTTTCGATTTAATATATACATGGAAATTTTAACAAAAGAGAAATTAGTGCGTATCAAAATTTATAATAACCGTTTAAAATGTGCTGTTGTTTACTAAAGGGTGACTCGCCAATTATTAATATATTTGAGAAAGTTTCAAATAATTTTGGAAGCATCGCCATCAAAATATTTAATTCATCAATCCTTTATCATATGACCAAATCAAATGATTAACATTGCATTTAATAATGGTCGGCTTGGACTTTTATTTTTCAAATAACTGCAGCGAAATCAAACCTCTGTAAATTGCTAAGATATCATATAAAACGAAAAAAAAATTGAAGTAATAAATATTTATAATGTATCATTTAAATTTAAACATAAAATTTTTTTTTACTATTGTTTCATATCATGATAAATAATCCATTTTATGAATTTATCAGACTTAAAAAATATTATCAAAATTCTTATTTACATACTTATAAAAAAAAAACCTTTTTTTTGTTAAAATTACTAATACTAATTTATCAATATTATATGTAATAAATAAATATGAATTTCTTTTTGCAATTTTTACTACATCTTATTTCATTTTTTTTAAAATATTACACTTGCTTTATCAGATAAAAGAATATGATTTTTTAATATTATTTTTATATATATTTCTTAAATAATATATAATAATCAATTAAAAAATATAATATAAAATATAAAATCATATTAATATTAAAATTGAATTTATATTTTTACTTTCTACTTAAAATGTTTAATAAATTATAAGTTGTAATTAATATAATTAAACTGAATTTATGATTTAAAAGCAAATTTTAGTATAAAAAAAAGTATTAAATAAATCAAATTTCTTTATATATTGAACTTTATAAGTATACAATAAATAATTTGATATATATATTTTTCTTATATAATACTACATTTTTTATTATTGTAAAAATAAATATTCATAATATTATATTACTTTAAAAATATTTAAAAATTATATTATTAATAAAATTAAATATTCAAAATTATATAACTAAATAATATTAATAAATTTTTAACAAAAATTAATACTATTATTAATATTATTAAAAATAATTTAATATATATATAGTATATTATTATATTATCAGTTTAGAATATCAAGATTTATTATTATATTTTATAATATATAATAAATCAATATAATTTTAATATATGCTATATTAAGTTTTATATAATATGTAAATTATAATTTTTTTAAATACTATAAATAAAAATAGTCTTCATAATTACTTTCAAATTTTAATTAAATACAATTTAATTATATTATAAGCAAATTTAATTGCAATATAAATTGTAATTCAATTATTCTTTTTTTTTTGATTGTGATACTTATCTTTAACTATAAAACTAAAATTAATAAATTTATATTATAATTTTTTATATTGAAATTAGACTATATTTATCTAAAATTAAATTAATTAAAATATAAATTATTATTATATAATATTATCATTAAATATATAAAATAATTTTAAAAATTACAATTTTAAAAAAGTTTTTTATTTTACTAATATTATATTTTACTTTCTAATGATAATATATTATACAATTCTTATTAAAAGTACAATCAACTAGTCGCATGTGACTTAGATTAGGTTATGAAAGTAACTTTATAGTCTGCCAGTAACTTCATAATATAGTGATAACTTCATAGTCTGCTGGTAATTTCATAATCTAATTATATAATCTGGTGGTAATTTCATAACCTAATATCACAATCTGATGGTGACTTCATAATCTACATACGGGTATCTCCTTTGCGTTTATCACATTGTTTTAACTATTTCTTGTATAATACAGTGGTGACTTCATAGTCTAATAGCGGATGTAGTAATTTAATTTAATGATGATATCACGATCTAATAGTGACTGCTTTTTTCTTGTTTTTAATTCGTTTACATGATAATTTTATAATGGAGTTGTTGACTCTCTGTAGCTGTTTTGATATCTGATTTTATATTGAGAATACTGGCCTTCTACGCCTGATTGGGTGCTGGATTCTATATTAGAGTACTTTTTCTTTACGCCTATTTGATTGCTTTTTTAGATGCTAAAATTATATAAAAAAGGTGATAAGTAGTACAGTAAATTCGATGTAAATCTGCGTCTAAATTTGGTCAGTACTATGGTATAATTTTTGATCGATCTTTTGGGCACATGATCTGAAGGATCCAAGTTAGTACTATAGTAGCATCATAGAAGTAGTGAGAAACTAGTATACAGTGTGGGACAAAAAAAACCGGAATTTTTTTTGAGAAATAAAATGATGCAAATCTCAGCAAAATCAAGTCCGATCTGAACTATGTAAAAAGGAAAATAATCGTAAGGTAAGTGAGTATATAATTTTTTTTTTGTATTACTAAATATTAAAATTTTTTTTTCATTTCCTCCCCTCAATATCTTCAATTTTTTAAAAAAAA